ATATATATTATATTTAATATACTTACTATTATACTTACCCTTACAATTTCCTATAATTTACCCATCACTTTTTCCCCATAACAATACCTATTTTATCTCATGTTTTACAAGTCTACCTATTTTATATTACATTTGATGACTGATTTATAAAAATAGTGCATTTGCAAAAATAGATGTTATTAGAAAATCAGTTTCAAAGAAATTTGACCATTTTTATGGTAATCACATATTACTTCAAAGTTTAAGCAACCAATAGTAATGCAATAAACTTTATTTAACTACTTGGTGGTCTGAAACAAGTTATATCCTTATAAGGATTATTGACAAACCTTCTTCTTTATTATAAAGATATATCTGTCTCATAAGTGAAATAGGTTGTAAATTTAGAGTCTTTGGTAATATGTAAGGATCAAATATAATATTCTTTTTAAATAAATCAATAATTATAAATTCTTTATTAACAGTTTCTTGACAAAAAACTTTGTCACATTTAGTGGACTTGAACAAGAAATAATGGTAATGTTAATGTTAGGAACTTTTTTAAAATAAGGAGTAAAATAATTAACAAAATTAAAATATTTTCACTTATGATCTTTGTAACAGATTGCATTATTGCCATGGGTAGGCATTTTAGTTATTTCAGCAACGTCAGCAACAGTATTATTATTGACTTTTTGTAACAAGCTTTCAAAAGTCCAAAATATCTATTACAAATAAATTCTGTGCCTGGGTATCATGAAATTAAGTTCAATAGTGTCAAACATACCAATTAGTACCAATCAACAGTAGAAAACAATAGTAGTATTATTCTTGTTTTGCCCTCCACAGTTATTACAAATAATCTTAATATTCTATTTACCTCTGTTACATTCAATAAATATGTCATAGATCAAACTTAGAGTTGTATTTGTATCCTTTGCTACTCCTACAGGAAACTCCCCTTCATCTATAAAATAATTTATTTGATAAGATTAAGGCTAATTACCAGTATTATTAATTCCAAAAATACTGACTAAGCACATACTCTTAAAGTACAAAGGATCAATTTGTTGTAGAGAATATGATATTGGAACATTCTGCACCTAATCATAACAAAAATGAGCAATAGCTAGCATTATTCATATTTTAGAAATTTGACAAAATTATATATTTTTCGCAAAACGGTTTGAAAAGACATTATAAAACTCTTATTATCAATAGTATTTGGGATATGTCTTTTTTTACTAGCAAGTGATGAATAAATATTAATAGTATGGAAATCATTTTCTTTTGCTTTTTTAATGTTAGCATTGTAATATTCATATTTGAGTTTAGCAATTCTTATATGACTAGTATATTCAACTAATAACTCTTCTTTATCTTCAGACTTGTTGGTATAACCAATTTTCTATCTTAATGTTTTGCAAACATTGTATAATTCTGACTTGGAAGTCATAAACTTAATATAAGGAATAAGCAATTTCCATAAACAAACAAAAAAGGACTGATTGATTTGATCATTATTCTGTTTATGGATTTTATAACTTGTTCATGTTTATGAAAAATAAAAGTATAGTTTTCATCTGTAAGCAAGTAAATCAATACCTGATCATTCCTTTCTAGATAGCTACTGGGTCTTGAAAGCCCATTAATATCAGCATAATTAAGAATAAAAGATGAAACTTATTTGGCATCATTATGAGTAATAGTTATTTTACTTGATCACTGAGGCAGACATTTGATATTACTATATATTCTCATTGTTAGTTCATATTCCTCTAGTTGTCGCTTGATTGCATCAAGTTTATTTTTATTTTATTTTTTTTGGAGATTTCCCCTTATAGGTAAGCATCATTTCTTTATTTGATATTGTATATAACATGGT